ATATTAAAACCACAGCAAGTATTTGGATGCATATTAGGCACAAACTTAAACAGACATGCTTTCTGAAAGTTTAAAAAAAAAAAATTAAAATCATTGCCTCTAACTCTACTTTTAACACACATTCATAAATCATTGACGTTTTACTTCCAGTGTATACCAGTATTCAGATTGTATTTATTCCACAAAGAAGAGCCAGAGGCATATTGCTTCATAACTAGCCTTTGCTGACAGAATAGCATCAGGAATTATTTGCTCTGTAGCATGGACTAAGCCAATAGTTTGTTGGCACATCTAGGTTGACTCTTGAGGTAAATAAGTAACAATAAAAATATCATCTCCACCTTAACATATCTAGTTGTGCCAACTGTGCATGTAGCTGTGCCAATAAGAATTTGGTTGAGCTAGTTATAAGTTGGGTGAAGCAGCTGCACAGCAGTGCTGACACACAAACTCCCCTCAGCAGTACATGTTATGTACACAGCAAAGGAAGTGAGGACAAGACAATCACTTTGTTTTTAAAAAACAAACAAAAAAGAAACCAACCCACAGCAATTCCAACATCTTCTGGAGAATCAGCATCATTAAAAACTCCATATTAACCATAAGAGCAATTCATTTAATGCAATGACAACTTTATTGAAAGAAAAAGCCCAGCACGTGTAAGTAAAGATTTCACTTCATTACAGAGAAAGTTTTTAGGAAAAAAGATGTTTATCAAAGTGGAAATCAAACAGTGTAAATACACAGAAAAACCACAACAGCAAACAATCAGTAACAGTATAAAACATGGTGGAGAATTTCTGAGAGTTTGGGTTTTATTTTACAAAACAATTCCACAGCTGTTAAAAAAAATTTAGTGTTGTCACATTACAGTGAGGCACGTGGTTTTAAGAAAATTTCTGTGCTTTCTGTCCTACATGGGCAGTATTTGCTATGGTTGTAAACATCAGTATTTAAGACAAACATATTTAAATATCATCCTCCTCCTCAGTTTTGAGAGTCTACAAAAGCAACAGTGATCTTTCATTAACATGATTAATCAAAACTAAGCAAGAACCATTCTCAGAAACTCAGAGGCTCTTTCAATCTCTTAGCACACAGCAGAAGGGGATGAGTTTCAAGTGCCCACACTGCTCCACAAGGCAGTTCCCAGAACACAAGCTTCAGACTGCACATAGGCAACAGTGCCATGAGCCTCCAAATGTGTTGGAGGCCAGCTGCAATCTACCCACAAGTCATGATCGATTCAAGCCTGTCATCCTGCATCTAGCTGGAAGCCATCCCATAGCAGAGTCTCCACCCTCCCCCAAACTTCCACAGTAATATTCACACAAAAAGCCTCTTCCTTTTTTTAAAACATGACTTCTTAAAAGAATTTCAACTTGATGCAGAAATTTTTTCCTTGGTTTTTGTAATAGCTCATGAACAATTTTATTACTGTAAATACTAAACAAGATTAAATTGTTCACATCATCACTGTAGAACTGTCTCAGATAGTACCAGTATTCACAATGGACTTCATCACATAGAGCAAAACTTTGAAGTAACGAAAAAATCCCACATTTTAACGTATGAAATCTCAGTACTTTGGGAACAGATGACTACCACCCTCCCTGTTTCCTTTTCTACAGTATCTGTAAAGTCAGCTGATCCCAGATATACACATTTCATGCTAGAACTGCATGCTAAGGCTGCTTGGTTAAGGTTATGTTAGCTGTTCTGCAAAAAGTAAAAAAAAGTGGATAGGCAAGTTGACAGTGAGGCTGGGCAAAAAGCACTTTATGGTAGAACACCAAATCCTACCAAGATGAGAATCCAACATCATACAAGTTTCTTAAGGAAAGTCAGCCTTGAGTTAAATGCCATAGACAACTAAGCAAGGACTTTGGGAAGGAAGGAGCTTTGAGTTTTAACTCAAACATCTCTGTTTGCAGTAGAGTGCATAGAACAAACATTCCTGCCTTGAAGGACATTAAGATACAAAGCTAGAGAGGGCTTCAGAAATGCCCACCATGCTTCCTGCCAAGCAGATAAGTTTTGATATCGTCAGCTTTGGTTAAGAGAAAGTAGTTTTAATGACAAAAAAATGGTATAATGGTATAATCCAATTCAGATTGAGGCTGGTGAAGAGGGAACGTTCATATACTAGTTTACTCCCTGATTATGTAAAATCATATAAAATAAAGTATTTTAACAAAGTGGAAAAATCTTTTGCTGCTAAACTTGGCAATAGCCTGAACACAACTACTTATAAGCGAGTAAGAATCTGAAGAGTTTTGTTCTGGTAGAGAAGAGTTATTTTAAATCAAAACTGCTTATAGATGACATGACAAACCCTGAGTATGTTTCACATATTGGCAAGAATACGATGAGTCTCTCCCACTGTCTGACCTTCACAGGAACAGAATACAACACCAAAGGGCAACATAAACCCTAATGGCACTCTGGTGATCCTTATGTCTTTGCCATCTCCACTCGGGTTCCCTTCCTTTAAGGGCACAATTACTTAGCCTCATGTGCTATGCAGTTAAATGAAGATTTGTTCTCTCTTACTGAATAAAAGGCTGTGGATTTGGAAGTACAGCTTTAAAAAGGAAGAGGGGGGGAATGCATTAAGTTTACGCCATATCTATTAGTAGTTTCCTCAATTTCCTACTTCTAAGTAAGTGGCTGTGCTCACAACAGTCAGCTAAAAAGGTTCCAGTTAGCTAGTATGCAAGTTGAAAAACTAATATTCAACATACCCAATTCTAGTGTTCTTCTAGACAAACTGCTGGAGAGTCAGGGTACCAAAATCCTGCACAAGCTTGTCAAGGAATAAGCAAAAGCCTTTTACTCCTAATCTGAAGTATTCAAAAAAAGAACCCCAGAAGTCAAATTCCATTGTGTCGACTGATGATGATCCAAGTTAACATAACTTTCCTGGAGAGGGAAAGGAGAAATAATGCATGCTATACTTGTAGCATTTTCCAGGAACATCCAGAGATGTTAAAACTAAAGAAATACTGGAATGTAAAAGGCATTAGGGTTGCATTTAAACTGCCCTTATACAAATGAATTCTGTAAACATTATCAAAGTCCTAATAAAAGACTAACACAGGTCCTTTGACAGATGTAAATTAGGGTTTGAACCTACTCCCTGATAAAAAAGACACACATCAGTTTAAGATACTTGTCTTAGATCAGTCAGGGAAAAGAAGTATCAGTATTCTTTAATTCCCAGTCTCTCTTGGGCATTTAACTAATTCCTCCTTTCAAGAAAAGCAATAGTCAACCCAGTTATTTCAACACTAACTTCCAAATCCGGGGGCGGGGGAAGGGAAGCAGCACTGGGATGTAACACTTGAACATCATCCTGTATAATTGCTTCATCCCAGTATCAGTGCCATGTTTTCAAGGTGGCATTTTCCATTCAAATGCTTTGCAACAGTAACTCTAGCCAGCTGGAATCCACACAAAGCCTGTTGAAGTTTCCTTTTCATACCATCCTCAGAAGGGAATATTTCTTCTTTTTAGAGGATCCTAACAGCAGGATGGTACTGTGCTTTATGAATTATCAGAAGGACACTTAAGTTTAAGATTTTCTATTAACTCAGTTTCTAGTAACTTTCTGGAATCCATACAATTATTGGCTTCACTGTAGGCTTACACTTTATTGCCAAGTAGATCTAGGTTTTTCCTACATTAAAATCTTTGTGTTACATGTCAAGGATACACTTGCCATGCAAGCACAACGCTGTTAAATGACTAAATTCCTAGTAGATGGAGGAAGAGAGGCTTCAGCTCATACTAAAGTCCACTGGATAATCATCTTCATAGACACTGACTCCAGCAAGACAGTTTGGTAAGCAGAAAGGTGAAAGCAGTTAAACAGTATCTCACACAGCAGAAGCGGGAATCTGTGCGCAGATATTAAACAACTGACCACTGCAATGGTTTGGGAGTAAATGATTATACATAGCTCAGAAGATAAAGAGAATGTAGAGTGCCCTTGGAATTTGGATACCGACTGTTCAGCTTTTGTTTGGAGCTGGCAGCTAGATTGTTACACGCTTTCTTTGCGAAGACAGGCAATAGAAAATTGTACTTTCTCCTCAAAGCAGTAGTTCACTAGTGTATACAAGAGCTTTAGGAGAAATGAAACTGATCCCACTTAAAAAAAATAGGAATGTTGGAGTTAACTTATTTACAAGTTCAGAAGAAAATGTCTTCTCCCCAGCCCAGACTGCTTAAACAATAGCCCACTTCCACCTTATCAACAGAGTTTGTCCTTTGAGACAGGACATACATAAATTCTCCCTTTGCTTACCTATCATGCCCTCAGCTTCGCACTGCTCCTATGCTACAGCTGGGGAAGAAAAGAAGCACCTTGCTCCATGTGGAAAATTTCAGTTTCTTACCTTGTATATGTTACCATTAGCTGTAGGCAAGGCAAAGAACTCACGCTCCTGGCAGCTGAAAAAATTCTATCAACCTTATTTTGTAAGTGCTTTTCCTACGGGAACAAGTTTTTACAGATGAAAATGTCCCTTTCCTGTATTTTAAGGAAACACCATCAGTCTAAACTGAAAATTAAGTACTTTGTTAAAGATGCAAACATTTCTTACTTACTTGAAAACAGTCTTTTCATTTAGAATTAAATTTTTTAGAAGTCTCATAAACCTAAAATTTTGCAAGGAAGGCAGGAAAAGAAAGAATACCAATATTCCATTATCCAAGGCAAATAGTGCAAAGATTAAGTGACTACATGCTATTTAAAAAAACCCAAGTTGTCAGTAAGAAATCAGTTGCCAACTGATTTCTTTTTCTTGAAAAAGAAATCCTCTAGACTGGCATAGTCCCATCAGAGTCAAGGTCTCCATTTTACAGACTTCACGTATTACTTTGTTACTTTTGCAAAACCACACAAATACATGATTTTACATAAGAATTATTATAACAAATTCTGGACCTTTGCCCAGTTCTTCTGCCAGACCGAACTTCATTTGATCACAAGCACCCTGTCCTACAGACACCATTGCTTACAAAACCAGGCAATTGCATACACTGGATTTAACACAAGGAGCTTCTAACAACAAGCTGAAAGGCACATGTTTAAGACAGAAGTAGAAAAATACATACACAGTGATCTTAACATAGTTCTACTATACTTCCTAGAACTTTGTGAAGCATCCAGTATTCCTGTTAGGACAGACAGACCGAAAAACATTTCTTCACAGCATCCCTACAGGCAGGATAAAGAAAAACAAACAAACAAACAAAAAATCAGTTATGCTGCTTGATGAGTCTCATTCCATGCTGCTATTGCACTGACACTGAGGACTTTAAAGATCAACTGACCATGTATTAATTGCGTTTACATAATTAGCATGACTACATGAATGCATTAGAGACAAGCGGGTCTGCTCACTGTCCACCTGCCCAACTGCAATGGAAATGACACCTGTAAGCTCGTATGGAGGTGGTGCGCTGAAGAAGGGTGGGGCTGATGGAGCAGGATAGAGAACTGTGTGCTCAAACACAGAATAGTGCTCATGGGGGACAACAGGAAAAAAAGGTACACAGAAGATGACACTTGTCTAGTAGCATTTTGGACCAACATTTAGGCATTCCAAAGGCAAGCCTTAAGTTTAGCATGTGGTCAGCACACTTACATATTTTTATAGGAAGCCCTCTCATTTTGTTACATTTGTGTTCTCCTGCTAGAGAAGATGCTTAGTTTTGTTTTCAGGTTTAACTACCTGTATTTCCTCCCCCTAAAACGCCATCATGGAAAAACTTCTAAAGCCATACATTACAATGCTTCTATAAACTAATCTTCTGTACCATTAAACCTCAAGATGACAAAAAGTAAGGGAGTAGGGAAGCTTACCTTGCAAATGGTATGAAGGAAATGCTGTACCTAAGAAGAAAGATTTTTAAGGTTACTCTTTATGTCAGATTTTATTAGAGTCACAATCAAGAAGAACAACCCCTCTGATGCTCTGAACAAGTTAACTGCAAGACGCGTAACTAAATGAAGCTTTGAGTTTGTGAGCAACAGGAATGAGCATCCTTGCAGCCAGGTTGTGAAATCCTATGGCAAAATCACAGGGCATATTGTAGAAGCATTTTAAACACAGTTCTCCTGCACCCAATATTCTTCACACTCCAATGCCTATAGGCAGGTAAGATCAGTCTTGAGGGCTGGCTAGATTTCATATCAGTTTCTGTACAACTTCTGTGACGTTACACAGAGCATACGTTAACTTAAAGAACAGTGACACTTAATTTGATTGGCATATCTGGGTCTTTTAACAAGACAAATTCAGGACAGTGTAGAATAGGAATACCAGACAGCAAGCAACAAATTGATTTCAAAGGGAAAGAAAAAAAGCAGTTTTACTTCAAGCTCACAGAAGTTAAACACTTCCCCCAGCAATGGAGCCCTGAGCTCCATCTCCAAAGCCTCTGAAGTTGTGTGAGAGGCCAAGAAGCAGGAGCAAGTCAGCTCCTCACTGATGCACTGTCTTGCTTCTAGGGGAATGGTGAGATAAAAATTCTGCTTCCCTCTGACTCATGCAAGGTCAAAATCCACTCACAATTCAGCTACTGATGTTAGGTACAATAGAAAATGGAGTGTGTGTGAAAGTAATCACTTACCATGCCAAGGCAAAAAACTGAAAGATGCAGAAAAGGAGTGCAAGTCCTTCCTTACGCCACTGAAGGAGAGAAGGGGGAAGGGGGGGAAGACACACAGCAGAGACAACAGTGTAAGAATCTTAGTTTTAAAATATACTCCAGTTATATATACATATAGGACTCAAGTACTCACCCAGAAAGCAGAACACAGTGTTAGTATGAGACACAACTAGAAGAAAACAAACAATTTCTATTAAAGATAGAAACAACTCCAGCTTTTAATAGATGTTGTAAGACTGTAATGGGTTCCTTCACAGAGACAGAAACAGATTACATCATTTCATAGTTTTATCCAATCCTGCATAAGAGTTCCCTGTATTTAAAATGCTCTCGCTATTACATTTCTGAAGTGAGTTAAAGCAATGAGGAAATATCAGCCTGATATCTCCAGAAAATAATTTTATGGCTGCAAAGGAACAAGAGGAAGAGGTCCCTACTTCATCTCACACACTTCTTGGTGTCATAGGTATACATCACACTTCATCATTTTGTGTAAGTAAGACTTTTCAGTTAAAACTCCAGTCTTTCTCTGCTTCTGTACATGCCACATTTCCCGTTGATTCCCAAGGTTACCATGGGGTTGAAGTTATGTCATTACTTAATTCTTACCAATTAAAACTACAACACACTTTTAAGAACTTTCAGCTATTCCTTAGTAGCTCTCCTGTTTAGTATAAAGTCCAGCACAGCCATTCAAACTGGCACTTTTTCTTTTTTCAACACAGTTAAAATCTTGAGGGGTAGTAGGCCATTTTGAATTATTTTCTGTTTTAACTCTCAGTTTTAAGAAGAGCCTCCTTTTAGTTCAAGTTTTCATTTTCAATTTAAGACACGACAACTCATTTAGCTATGACAGATGCTGATACTTGATCTTCCTCCATCAACATCTAACAGCCTTTTGATACACAGGTACCATTGTGCTAGTAGAGATTATAACGTGTGTTTTTGTGCTTGACTTAAAAAAAAAATGTAGTACTGCATATTCAAGACAGTAACACATGCATTGCCGAAGAAGTCATACGCTTCCCCTCAACCATGATTATTGACATTAAATGTAGTTTTTCCATTAGTTTTAAGGTGGTGATTTATATATTGATCTAAATTCTACATCATACATCTAACAACTGGCTTTATTCCAGTGAACAACATTCCAGGCATTCTCCTGACTCCAGGGATCCTAAACGCATACAAAACACACCACATAGTAGGCTTCTTGCCTGCTGCTGATCCGTGAGCATACACAGTCAATTTCTCAAGCTCTATCAGTTGCCTGCAGCCTCTCTGGATGTTTAAAAATAGGAAGCACTGATGCCGAGCAAATGCTCTGAAGACATTCATACTCAAAATAGGAGGACAGTTTCATGAAAGTTAAACCACCTTCCAGATTTTAGGCTCTCAAAGAGAAAATGGAAAAGTTGAAGAGACAAAAAGCACACGCACTTCAAACAATTGAGAGCCTGAAACTTAACAGCAATTTTTACCTTCCCCTCCCTGCCCCAGTAGAAGGTTGGCCAGAACTCCCATCTTCTGAAGATAATTCCAAGGGCTGACTTCGGTTGAATGTTGAATTTGAAAATTCATTGTGTCATACAAGTTTCAAAACCTGAAGCTATCAGCCAACTGGGTTGATTTCTGTATTTTTAATACAAGATGGGCATAGAGATTCCCCAGTTGCTTTGTCAGGAAATGACGATTTTATCAAGGTAGAAATACCTACACAGCTCTTTAAAGCAAATCAGGTAGAATCTAAAAAGACAAAATTATGCAAAATAGAATGTCAAACAACTTCTATAATACAACTTTTTAAAAACTAGCTTCCCATCTTCCATGCAACATGAAAATTTAATGTTGTGACCTCAAGCACCCTAAAAAAGCGTGTGCACGGTTCACACACGCCAGCCGCGGGCCCTTAATGCTCGTTTAGCCTAACAACCTGGCTTCAGCTCAGTCTTTCATTATGGGAAGATGGTTTTCTGGTGCTACATGTACTTTTCCACTATAGCAGATGTACAGGATGTTTGATGTTTTAAGAAAAAAAATAAAAAACCCAAACCAAAAAGCCACCTACAAACACATCTTAAGACATAATTAGATCGATGATACAAAAGGACTTCACAATGGAAATTGTTTACAAGTTAGCATGAGTTAAAACTGGTTCCTTCGATACTTACTAGCATAACAATAGTAGCAATCAAACGTGTAGGCTCAAACATCCTTTTCAATTGTTTCATTGGTCCCATAAGAAAAAGAGTGCTGTGAAAAAAAACCCCAAGATGAACACAGAGGTAGAAAAGCAAAAGTGAAACTAGGCAAGATTCCTTACGAAGGGGGGTTATTTTGTTAAATCGTCTCCTGTCATATGGGACATCAGTACACTATGTTGTTGTAGTAATCAGTGCTGAATAACAAAAGAAACAGCATACACAATGAGACAAAATCCATTCCTGCTTTTCTTTGTGCAAGGTATTTATTCTATAATTTTATTTACATTTGTTCAGTTACAATTAACATAAGCAGAGCAGAACTATCAAGCTAGAAGCATAGGTCAAGGTCAGCTTCAATTAGATCATTCCTGACAGATGCTTTTTTAACCTGCTTTTCAAAAACACCAGCCACGGAGGCTCTGCGTGGATTACTAGGTAATCCAGCCCAAATCCTCTACATAAAGGGCTGTTTTCAGGCCTGGATCCATTCTCTGACCCCTTACCAGATCTGCAGCCCTCATTTAGGGCCCTGGTGATTGATACTGCATGAATTACACAAGGTGAAAGTTTTATCTAAGGTGGTATTTCTGCCTCATATACTATATTATTCCACCTCATTACTATATTATTTCCCATACCATTCCTTGTGCTTTCTAACATCTTGTTAAGTTTCCTCCATCAGAGAAGGTTGTGTCTGTCACAAAGTCAGTGGGGCTGTGCTTCAGGAACATCAATGGCCAGGAAGGCTTATCAAACAGGCCTGCCCTGACAGACAGACTGCCCCAAATACATTCACCAAAGCACACAGAACATTACCAAATGCAAAATGGCAAAGAATTATTTTTATCTTGAGGGGGAAAAACCCCCAAAAAATCAAAAAGCCTCAGTGCTCAAAGTATCAGTCTGATTCTTCTTTACTGAAGAGTAACTTTTCCCTTGAATGCATTGCTAATAACAATAAACAGAATAAAAACTTATTTCACCATTTCAGGGCACTACGGGGGAAATGTTGTTCTTTAAAATTCAGCAACAAGAGAATGATCTACATAAGCAAATCTTTTCACACAAATGCAACAGTTTCTACCACTTACGCACCTTCACCTATCGTTCTGCTTTAGTTTCTCATCTTTATTAGGGGACTAGTATATAAAGATTGTTACCTCCCAATAGATGCAATATTCCCCAGTGTATAAAACACCGCAAAGAGGATCAGCCCTTTCTTTGGTACCCATAGCAGACAACTACCCTAAGAAGAAACATTTAGAGAGAGAAAGGGGAAAAAAATTAATATAATTTTTAAATTGCAAAAGAAATATATCCAAGAAATGTCACAACACAAGCCTTAGGAAAACTTAAACCCAAACTGCAGAATCACACACACAGAAGTAAATTACATTTATTGGCACTCTCGTTAAGAGCTAGTGCATTGCATCTAACTGGAACCGAGTCAGCTACCTTCCTAGAGGTTAAAAAAAAAAAAAAAAATAAAAAAATCAAGCAACAGCATGCAGCAAGGCTGTAATGATTGGGGCTCCTGAAACTCAAGTGAGATCTAGCAAAAAGTCCTTACCAAGAGCGAGCACAGGCATCCTATTGCAAAACAAGCAACGAAGCCTTTCACTCTGGTGCCCCAACCTAACGAAGTCGCATCAATAACCTAGAAACGAGGAGAAAAACAACGGGTGCAAGTTATTATTTACTTGGCACTTGCCCTCTAAGCTGCTAAATGGCGTCCTGGCGCAAACGGACCCCCAGTGCCCACGCACCCTCTCCCGCGGGACGCGCGGGCGCTGCTGAGGGACAGCCAGCCCCCCCCGGGGACCCAGCGGTCTGCCCCTGCCCGGCCGGCCCAGGTCTACTCCGGAGACCGAGTCATCCCCTCTCACAAAACGCGGAAGCCAGGGCTCCCTCCCCACAGGCGGCGGCTGCTCGCGGGGTAAAACGCGGGGGATTTTAAGCGCGAGTGAAAACGTCCGGAGAGCGGCTCCAGGGCGAACCGCCGTCCCCGGCAGCCCCCGGCCGGCTCCGCCCCGGGGAACCGGAGGCCCAACGATGGGCTGAGGCGGCGCAGGCCGGTCCCGCCGACGGAGGGACCGCGGCGCGCTGAGGGGCGGCCCGG